CAGATCTGACTGCATACGAGCTGCCAACACCACCTGCAACCCATGTCTGTTTTACATAATCAACTTCCTTGTGTGCATGAAATACATTTTGAATGGTTTTGGCTATGGGGACAAGGCTAAGACCTTCCAGTGCCATTTGCCCCTTCTGTCTCCTTGAGCCAGTGTGGTGTAGGGCTGAAGTATCAGACTAGGATTTCGGAAATCCAGGTTCGATGCTTGTGCCATGGAAGCTCGCTGGGTGACCTTGGGCCAGTCACACACTGGCAGCCTAACCTACCTCACAGGGTTGGTGTGAGGATAAAACGGAGGAGAGGAGTATGATGTAAGCTGCTTTGGGTCACCACTGGGCACAAAGGCAGGGTATAAATTAAATTAAATTAAATTAAATTAAACTTCAGTATTGCCTCTGGTGCTCGGGACTTGCCTCTGGTGCTTGGGGCTGATGTGAAGTTTGTCATGTGTTCCCCCCAGAGACTGGCACCCTGTGGCAGGCTACCCAGCAACGGACTGCCTGGCAGGGCAGGAGAAGCCCTTGGGCCCAGCAGGAAGGCTCACCTGGATGAAGCAGGGAACTGGGGTAGGAAGGGGCAGTCAGGCTCAGCAACAGGGCATCCTTGGCAGACCGCCCCAGAAATGTTCAAATGGTGTGGAGGCAGTGAACAATCCTGAGAAGGTGAACAAAGACTCTCCAGGCCCAGGTGTTTTAAGGCACGGCATGGCTGGAGAGCAGGGAACAGAGCCAAGGAGGGCAAAGCTCAGCTCAAGGGCCAGGTGGGTACCTGTGTGGCTATAAAAAGGGAGGAAGGGGAAATGGGAAGACGTTGGCTGGCTGGAGAAGGTGAAGGCCGCATGTTGTAGTGCTGGGGCTCCTCACCAAGCATCATCCTGAGGTGGATGAAGTGAATCACATATACCAGCTGCTGGTTCCTATGGAGAACTGTCTCTAAAAGCACAGTAGGGCCCCATTTATTTAGAAGAAGAAGAAGAGAATGAATTTATACCCCGCCCTTCACTCAGAGTCTCAGAGTGGCTTACAAACTCCTTTCCTTTCACCTAGGGTTGCCAAGTCCGAATTTCGCCGCAGCAGGGGACTCCCGGCTGGCGGCTGGAGCACACGCGCGCACCGCATCCACATCACTCAGAAGTGACGCGACCACGCCGGGCACACTGGGGGCGGGGCCATGACCATCCAAGGGAAAACCATAGAGTTTTCCCTCCGATGACCGTGGCCCCGCACCCAGCGTGCCCGGCGTGGTTGCGTCACTTCCGGGTGACGTGCACGTCGGAGTGGGGTTCCCCCCGGGGCCCGATCCGCTGGTGGCGGGGAACGGGCCTCTGAGGTGGGGGTTTCCCCGTCCCCCAGGGGGACTTGGCAAGCCTACCTTCCCCTCCCCACAACACACCCTGTGAGGTAGGTGGGGCTGAGAAAGCTCTGACAGAAACTGCTCTTTTCAAAAACACCTCTGACACAACTATGGCTTGCCAGGTCAGGTTAGAACAGATAAAAGGAAGTCCTTCTTCACCCAAAGAGTGATTAACACATGGAATTCACTGCCACAGGAGGTGGTGGCAGCTACAAGCATGGACAGCTTCAGGGGGCTACAGTGTGACAGAGTGTTGGACTGGGTGGGCTACTGGCCTGATCCAACATTGGCTTCTCTTATGTTCTTATGTTCAAGGTTACCCAGCAGTTGCAAGTGGAGGAGTGGGGAATATAATCCATTTCTCCCATATTAGAGTCTGCACACTTAACCACTACACAAAACTGACTATTTATTTCAATTTTTAGACTACCTTCCCCCTGAAAAACAGAGCTCAGGGTGGCGTACAACAGTGAAAAAATTACAACCCTACAAAAGTTTTCAGAATTAAAATAATACATAAAATACAATTTACAGCAGGCTAAGTCAATCTGATGGTGATAACTTCTGGAATATCATTGCCTCGTAGAGGAAGGAGGCGGGGTAGAAAGAGGAGGAAGAGTGTCAGACTAGATGGAAGACCATCACTGTCCTCAACTGAATGCCTGGTGGAAAATCTCTGGCTTACATACCCTGTAGAACGGCAAGAAGTTCTGCAGGGCACAGATGTTATTTGGCAGAGAGTTCCACTAGGTAGGGCCTAGTGCCTAGTTGAGGACAGCCAGATGTCTCTTGGACCGGGGACCACCAAGAAGTTCTTATCTCCAGAGCATAAAGTTCTTCTGGGGGTGTACCAGAAGAGGTGGTCCCAAAGGTACATGGGGTCCCAGGCCATGGTCAGCATCGTGGCATGGGGGGGGGGAGAAAGGATGTGCTCCTGCCCCATTTCCATGACATGAAACAGCATTGGGAAACGTTATTTGCCCCCTTGGGCACTGTGTATGCATGGGTAGCTGCTGGATGGGGCAGATCATGCATCCCATCAGGTCAGGAAAATGGGGTTGGGTAGGAGGGAGCCCCTCCTCCCCCTATGTTATTGTGCCAACCAGAATTGGGGCCTTGTGGTTGAAGGCTGCCGGTCCCGGAGGAGAACATGTGACAGTCTTGGAGGAGAACATGTGACAAACAACTCCGGTGCATGCACATATTTCAAGCCTCACATGGGGGAGAAAACACATCAGGCACACAGGCTGATGACCTTTTAATATAAATTTAAAGGTGCTTTTACTACGTGTGAGGAACTTTATCCGGCAATAAAAAGGAGGAAACTTTAAAATTATTAAGAATATAGAAGTAACATGCTGATACACTTGCAATAATTAAATGGTACCAGAGGATATGGTCAATAGCTTTTACATCCCAAGTTCGAAGCATTTTATTAAGAGCACATAAAAGAGAGCAAAGTAATATCGTTATTGAAAACTGGACTGTTTTCCATTATATATTGGCAGGGTAAATGTGATGATGTTCGCTCAAATGCTAGGCTTTCCGCACGGTATTGGTAATGAAACTTTTCAATGTAAAAGATCTATGCACGAACACCTAGCATCAGTGAAGTCTGCGTTGTCCTGCTACTCAGAGTCCCCCTGTAGGTCTGGCATAATCAGGACTGTGAATGGAGCAGGAGCAACAATGGAAGAGTTGAATCATGCCAACTAGAGGCACTTGCCAAGTCTGGCGGCAGCGGCGGGGAGGGGGGGCTTGGCTGATAATGCTTATTGACATTCAAGACTAGCTACAAATATTCTCCCCACCTGCCTGGCTGCACAAAACTATAGAAAGAGATTTAAACTGCAAAATGACCCCCAAGAGACACCGATGATAGAGTAGCACGTATTGTCCAGCAGGAGGTAAAGAGAGATAGGACCATCAGAGCCAGTTTGGTGTAGTGGTTAAGTGCGCGGACTCTAATCTGGGAGAACCGGGTTTGATTCCCCACTCCTCCACTTGCACCTGGCTGGATGACCTTGGGCAAGCCGTAGTTCTGATAAGAGCTGTCCTTGAAAAAAGAGCAGTTTCTGTCAAGAGCTCTCTCAGCCTCACCTACCTCACAGGGTGTCTGTTGTGGGGAGGGGAAGGGAAAGGAGTTTGTAAGCCACTCTGAGACACCTTTGGGTAGTGGAGGGCAGGGCATAAATCCAATCTCTTCTCTTCTTCTCCTTGACCAACTAGTCAACCCAGTGTCACTCAAAGCTGCATATACATTCCCTGAAAGGAACATAGGTTCTTAGTGGGGACAGGCCACTAAGTGGTAGAGGATGGCTTTGTATGCAGAATGTCCCCAGGTTCAATGAGTGGCATCTCCAGTTGAAAGGTAATGTGAAAGATCTCCATCCAAGACCCTGGAAAGCTGCTGCCAGTCAGAGTAGATAGTCATCATGACCTTGATGGACCAAAGTTCTGAGTCAGTCCAAGGTAGTTTCCTGAGTTCATGTGTATTAATAGGCCCTTTCTGTCACAGTTACATCAATGGCCGCTTCTGCACAAGTGTGTGCAACCATGTGCTACCATGAAAACACAAGCTTTGACATTAGACTGGGTGTGGGGTGGAATGGGATGGACTGGGGTGGAGATGAGTAGCATCAGTGCTGATCGTGCTGGGAATGGACTGCATATTATTTCATCAAGTCTGTTTTGCCTCAAATTCTACAATGCAGAACTGATCTATTTATTAATTTGGAGGACAATAGACAAATGCTTTAGCACCCGAACTCTCATGAAACTGCCTTATACTGAATCAGATAAGTGATACATCAAAGCCAGTATTGTCTACTCAGATTAGTAGTGGCTCTCCAGGGTTTCAGGAATGAGTCTTTCACATCACCTACTACCTGGTCCTTTCAACTGGAGATGCCAGGGATTGAATCTGGTACCTTCTGCATGCAAAGCAGATGCTCTGCCACTGAGCCACAGACCCTCCCCAATTAATTAGGGTTAGGGAATAGTTCAGCAATAATACAATATTATGGCATGCCTATCTCCCACCTTCTTCTTCCTCCATATACTTTAAATCCACCACACTGGAAAAGAAAAGAAGACAGACAAATAGAAGGTGTCTGTATTTTCCTCTCTTCCAAAGCAAAAAACAGTGTGAGGAGTGGTAGGCCTCAGGTTGGTTACAGTTGGTAAATCCTTCCCCCCTCCAAATCAGGGCTCTGCACAACTGCTCTTGCCTTTTTGAAGTCACAGGGAGGATTCAAGCAAAGGTCTCCAGGCATCCCAATTTGTTAGGCCCCCCAATTCTTAGAAAAGAGCTTAAAGCTTGGGACATTACCATTTTTATCTAGGCTGTACAGTCATCTCGTGTGTCACGTTAAATACACAAGTCCCGCTCCCTGGAGAATTTATTCTGCCATTCATATTTTTTCTCATGCTTTCTCCAAACATAACGGTCACAGTTATCACGCATACATCAGAAATAACTACCTATCCTCTGCAAAGCAACCTGACTTCAGAGAGCACCTAAGACTCCAGGGGGGCTTAGGGGGGGAAATGCCTGTATTGGATAACTACCTATTACCCAGCTGCTTTTGTGTTCTTCAAATAAAGATGTTCACTCTTAACACTTATTTTCTGCAGGTGAAGGCTTCGCTCCACTCCAGACACTTTTCTCCATCACCTCCAAAAGAAAAGAATTTACATTTAATCTTGCCAATGCCCTTTACCTTCAAGAAGGATTCATGGTGAAAGAACAGTATCTCCATAGCAACAAGGAATTCTTTCAGACAGCTGTAAAGCTGGTGAATTTCCAAGATACTAAAGCTTCCGCAGAGGCCATAAGTACTTGGGTAGAAAACAAAACAGATGGTAAAAACTCTCTCTGCAGCTTTCCCTCATTGTTTGCTTCAGCGCGCTGGCTGGTTAAAGTCTGGTTGCTTTCTTCAAGGCCCAGGGGTGGTAGTTAGGAGGGCATTTGTATGAAAAATGTTGGGTTGGCGTGCATTCACCCGGTATAGTTTCAGTTTGGGGGTTATATCTCTGTAAAGAGGACTGGCATCGAGATAGGCATTATTGGGTAGTTGTACCCTAGCCTTGGGAGAACCTGCCGTTGTATAGGTGCATCAGTCACAACCTACACACTTTTTCTTTGAGGTAGGTCCCCTTCTGGAAGGACTGAGACTCCCAAGTTGCCTTGAATTTAGTACAAAATGAGACTGAGTTGGCAGCATTGGTTGTCACCTGTTAGATGGAGCCTGCATGTTTAACAGGGGCCTGGGTTGCAGGATAATCATCTGGAAGAGCTTTTCTAAGATCAGTTCAGGGATCCTGGACGCTGCTGTGTTAGCTCTTTTCTCCGGTATTGACACTATTGACCTACTTGTCGATTCCTGGGAATCCGGATGGTGCCCATCCTAAACTGTTGCATTTCGGTGTGCTCTCCCAATGTGATTTCTCAAGTACTGATTCACTGTGATTTTCTAAAAATCTTCCATCACAACTACAGTCTTTTCTCTGTATGAATTGACTGTATTCCCCTGGGGTGGAGGAGAAGTATATAATATTGCAGGTGATGAACGACTCTTCTTCAGCCCATCCCCTGCAGCCATTTTTTAAAAAAGTCAAAGTTCCCTCCCGTAGGGACCCAGAGAAGCCTGTTGGTCAGTTCACATGAGATTGACAAATAAACTGTTTGGACTCATGGCCAATGTTCCCTCTAAGCTGTGGAGTCCTGTGAGCAAAAATTCTACTATGTGAGCTACTGGCATTAAAGTTGTGAGCAAGTGATTTGGCTGCTGCATAAATTAGTTTGCTCTGGAGCCCTCCTTCCTGAGCTAAGACAAAAACTTGTGAGCTGGAGGCTAAAAAACTGTGAGCTAGCTCACACTAACTCAGCTTAGAGGGAACATTGCTCATGGCAGAAGCAGAGCTCAGCCTCCTCCATTGCCCCTCTTACGGATGGCTACCACTGGGCCGGATGGATTCCTTCTCTTTCCCACAGGGAATAGATATAAAGGGTTTAGGAGCATAACATGTGGCTGCCTTATACTAAGCTGGATCCTCTGTCTATCTAGCTCAGTTTTGTCTACTGTGGCAGGCTGTGGCTCTCCAGCCTTTCAAGCAGCAAAAGATTATTCTCAGTGCCTGCTATCCAAGTTCTGTTTCACTGGAATGCCAGGAACTGAACCTGGACTTTCTCTATCCAAGCTGGTGCTTTGCGTGACTTCCCGAGCAGCTGTGTGACTAAGAGCCAAACGTGTCACTTTGCTCATGACTCCACCACAGGGGTTTGCAGCCACACTGCAGCTGCAAGTCACTGTAGCAACTTGTGTGTAAAAAGCACAGGTGAGCATGAGTCTGATCAGAGCAGCTCTCCAAAATGGCTCAGGGAGGGAGACAGAAGCCCCTCCTCCCCTGAGCCCCTGTCCTGATCAGAATCAGACCCAACTTGAGCTGCCACAATGACTTGCAGCTGCAGCAGCAGAAGAGTAGGTTTTGATGCCCCGCTTTTCTTTATCTTAAGGAGTCTCAAAGCGGCTTACGATTGCCTTCCCTTCCTCTCCCCACAGGAGGCACCTTGTGAGGTAGGTGGGGCTGAGAGAGTTCTGAGAGAACTGTGACTGGCCCAAGGTCCCCCCCAGCAGGCTTCATGTGGAGGAGTGGGGAATCAATCCCAGTTCTCCAGACTAGAGTCCGTCACTCTTAACTGCTGTACCACACTGGCTCAGTAGGGATACAACAAGTCCCTGTGCTGAACTCGTGAAAGAAGTAACGTCTAGCTTGTCTGTAAATGTTACAAAATCACCGGTGAGCAGGGCTAGTGCTAGTACAACATCCGTTCTCCTCCCCCAGTTGCTTTTTTGTTGTTGTGATCTGTAAGTTGCGCTTATTGATTTTCTGCCTCTCATGAACTTGTTAAAGATGCAGAGTCTCCATCTACAAAATCATGGCATTCCTTGATATTCAACCCTGCCCCTAAAAAAATTTAAACTACTAAAGCTGTCCTGTTCTGTTATGTAGCTGAAAATCATTGTTGCATATCTATTTTTTCCAAGTAGAAAGGAGGCGGACGTTTAATCTGTCAGGTACAATTGCTGCATTTTTTTTCATATTCACAGGAAATCATTACTAAAGTGATACATTTAAAAAGAATGCATCTTTGTTTGGAAACACATATCAATAAACAATATGAGCATTGTCAGTTAATGTTGGCAATATCATCCACCAGTGTGATGTTTCTCTAGAGTCACAAAGGGAGGGGCTGTGGCTTGATGACAGAACATCTACTTTGCATGCAGGAGGTTCAGTCCCCCATTATCTCCAGTAAAAAGAATCAGGTAGTAGGTGATGTGAAAGACCTCCACCACCTGGATCCTGGAGACCTGCTGCTGGTCAGAATACTGTAGATAATACTGACCTTGATAGACCAATGGACTGACTTAGTATCAATAGAGGCATAACATCCAAATCGCAAGATGTCGTAGTCCCGCTGTACACTGCATTGGTCAGGCTACATCTGGAGTACTGTGTACAGTTCTGGAGGCCTCACTTCAAAAAAGAATGTGGACAAAAGGGAGTGGGTGCTGAGGAGAATGACAAGGATGATCGGGAGCCTGGAGACCAAGCCCTATGAGGAAAGGCTGAGGGGCTTGGGAATGTTCAGTCTGGAGAAGAAGAGGTTGAAGGGGGCCATGATTGCTCTCTTTAAGTATTTGAAGGGCTGTCACTTAGAGAAGGGCAGGGAGCTTTCCTGTTGGCAGCAGAGGAGAGGACTCGTCATAATGGGTTTAAATTAAGGGCAGGAAGGTACCGGCTGGCTCTTAGGAAAAACTTTCTTACAGTAAGAGTTGTCCAACAGTGGAATCAGCTGGTCCATCAAGCCCTGGTTAGTTCTTGGATGGGTCACTATGCAGAGGCAAGCAATGGCAAACCATCTCTCAACATCTCTTGCCTTGAAAAACCTATGGGGCTGCCATAAATCAGCTGCAACTTGAGAGCACTTTCCTCCACCACCAAATCTGGGGTATGTGTATGCTGACCAGAGTATTTTGGAGGAAGAACTGAATGGAAAAAATGTATGATGGCACGATGAGAGCAAACTCTTAGCCAATTAGTGCTTACAGCAAATGACAGGGTTTATTTTGACATGATGTTTGGGCTGGGGCTGGATGGTGTGAGAGAAGATTAATCTCAGGTCTCTTGGCTGCCATTGTTTTGAGGGAGAGAGAGACAGGGTGAAGACTTGGGGCTGCTGTTTCTGGTGGCCAGTGACCATGTCCCATAAGATCTCACCTCAGCCTGTGAGATTTGACTCCAGTCTCCCAACTGCAAGTTCATCCCTCAGCATCACACTCATGATGAGGGGTTTTTTTAAGCACTCTGAAGCAGATTATTTTTTCTCTCTGATATTGTAACCTCTTCTTAGCAAATGTATCTTAACCAGTTAAGGAGGTAGCTGAATGTGCTGATGATCTTTCCCCATATAGGTCAGATAAAGAATTTCATTTCAAGCGACGACCTTGGTCCCCTCACTCGACTTGTTCTGGCAAATGCCATTTACTTCAAGGGGAACTGGAAACAAGAGTTCAAAGCAGAGAGCACCATTCTGATGGATTTCACTAAGAGTGATGGCTCAGTCATCAATATACCCATGATGCATCTTCAGCTCAAAACAAGGCTTGGTAATTCATATATATTTCTCTCCTTGCCGGTTGGATCGTTCCATTCCATTCCATTGGTGCCAGTGCATTCCTCTGGTGCCAGAGTATTCCTCAGTCTGCCACTGAAACAAGAGGCTCTTCCACCTGTGGAGGAGGCCCAAAGTCATTTTCATGGTGAAACAGGGATCTAAAGCCTGTTTCTCTTTAGTCAAAGTGCAGCACTCTAGCCTCTAAACTACACTACCTCTCTTACTATACCTTCTAAGGGAGATACTGAGGAATAAAATCAGGGCTTTTTTTGTAGAAAAAGCCCAGCAGGAACTCATTAGCATAATAGGCCACACCCAACAGCAGGAACCATTAGCATATTAGGTCACACCCCTGACAGCGCAGCTCATTAGCATATTAGGCCACGCCCCACATGTTACCAGAAGTGTGGTCATCCAACCACACCCACCTTTTGCTTCTTATTCTGTTTACTTTGTTGTCAAAACCCTGGGCTTTTTTTGTAGCAGGAACTTCTTTGTATGTTAGGCCACACACCCCTAATGTAGCCAATCCTAACGAGTGTCTGCTGTTAGGTGTGGCCTATTATGCTAATGAGTTCCTGCTGGGCGTGGCCAACTCAGGAGCCAGCCGGAACGCCGTTCCTGTGCGTTCCTGCCCAAAAGTAGCCCTGAATAAAACTACCTCAGAGTGGGATGAAAACTCAAAACCCAGACCCAAATTGCCTTTAGATTGCACCTTGGATGGATTTACCTCAGGGATTCGTCTGTCTTTGGGCTCAGTCCAGTTTTGGCTTGTACTTTTCCTGTGTGTTTGGCTGGCTATATGCCAGAACTGACATTTCCGCAGCCTGTTGATGGAGATTTCCTGTGACAAGTGACTCCTTTCTTCCTGTAAGATTTTATAACTTCCTTTCCCAGTTTTATTTTCCATTTATTTTAATCCATTAGTGGCACAGCTCTTCTCATTATGAGCCCCATCATCCGAACATTTCGTGTGACACTATATATTTAAGATGTACTTTATGTTGGAATTTTTCATACAAACACAGATGGGTTTAAAACCTAAATGGCAAAACACATCAGTGACGCTTTTGTCAAAATAGTAAAGTAATATCAGTGATATTCCAATTAAATAGCTTGTTCTCATACATGTCAAATAATCTCCAAGTCTCAAGATCCCAGCTTGTCACCTCTCTCTTTACCCTGAATTGATCCAGAAGTGTGAAATGGTAAGGCACAAAGTATATTCAACTTTTTTTAAAAAAAGAACAAACCTGAATCAGGAGGCCTTTTGTTGGATTCCTGTTCACTAAACCACTCCGTTCTAGCTGGCCCTCTGTGGTGAGATTGCCTTGGGGTGGGGACTGCTCTTTGCAATGGCTGCTGCCCCCCCATGTCCATAGGGCCTCTTTCCTGCTTAGATTTCACAAACTGTTTAAAGCAGTGTAAGGGCTTTAAAAAAATTAGTCTGATTTTGTTGCTGGGATAGTGCTCTTGTGCTGATGGATTAACAGTGCAATCGTAAACAGTTACACCCTTCTAAATCTGTCACCCTGACCTGGATAGCCCAGGCTAAACTGATCTTGTCAGATCTCAGAAGCTAAGCAGGGTGGACCCTTGCTAGTATTTGGATGGGAGACCTCCAAGGAATACCAGGGTCATGACGCAGAGGCAGGCAATGGCTAACCACCTCTGGACATCTCTTGCCCTGAAAAACCCTACAGGGTCACTGTAAGCTGTGACTTGACAGCACTTTCCACCATCACCAACTCTGTCTAGGATTGCACTGAGAATAATTTTTAGCAGGGGTCATTTGGGGGGGGGGGGCCGGGGGGGGGGCCTACAACACCCTTTCCCTTCCCCTCCCCACAACAAACACCCTGTGAGGTAGGTGGGGCTGAGAGAACTCTTAACAGAAACTGCTCTTTTTCAAGAACAGCTGTGCCAGAGCTACGGCTTGCCCAAGGTCATCCAGCCAGGTGCAAGTGGAGAAGTGGGGAATCAAACACAGTTCTCCCAGATTAGAGTCTGCACACTTAACCACTACACCAAACATCCTGTCGTGATGTTATACTTATTTTAAATATTGTATTGTTTTTCATCAAGTGGCTGGCTACTTCAAACATACAGAAGAAGCTGTAGGCACATGTGCATACAAATATCAGTCAAGTTTGCCAGCTGAGACTTCTTCTATACTCTGTCCTTTGTTTCAGGCCATTTTTCTGACCGTAATGTGAGCTACCAGGTTTTGGAGCTGCCCTACGAAGGGGAGGAATTCAGTTTAGTTCTAATCCTTCCTGCGGAAGACGTGCCTATCGGGGAGGTAGAAAACCTCATTACCGTGGAGCTGATAAAAGACTGGTTTGCCAGGATGGAAGAGGATGATGAAGTAGAAATCAGCCTTCCTAGGTGTGTAATGAACTCGTCGGTGCTCTGTGCTTTCTCATTATCCCTTCTGATCTTAAATCCCACTAGTGGGAGAGCTGGGGAATTAAGACACTGAAAAGGGCAAATAGATTTACTGACCTTGGAGCTTTGCACTTATTTAAACTAATGGCCGTTTATGCTTAGTAATTTCTCCAGTGAGTGTCGGTGAGGCAAAGACCTATATTAGAGCTGTCAGGTACCAATTTCTGTGCTGAGGGACACTATGAAACTGCAGACTGGGATGTTAGAATAGCCACCCTGGTTCCAGAAAACGAGAAATATATTCCTACTGTCTGTTTACCAGTGGAAGGTCCTCTTTCCTGCAACTTTGTTTCAGCTGTATACAGACATGACAATAAACTGTGGTTTGACCAAACCCTGATTATTTGAGATTCCTGGTCATTGTTGGTTGGCATTACACCTGAATACCAAACTACCATTTGTGGCTGATTTGTTAACCACAATGGGAAAGGGAAGGAAGCTGAAGGCCAAAGCCAGCTTCTTTGCCACCTGTCTTTTCTCTCCCTCCCAGTGATTGCCGCTGCTGGTCCCTTCTCCCCGCCCCCCAGCCCTCCTAATATATTTTGGGGGTTGATAGGCCACTCAGAAGATGGCAGTTGAGATCTTGCGACATAGAATCATCACATCTCCTTTTATTATTGTTAACTTCAGGGTTTTTAAAATCCCCATCACTTCTCCCCCCCCCCCTTTCAGATTTCTCTGTAAAACTGGTCCCTCAGGTTTGTCACACAAAAACCTGTCCCATTTGTACACGGTCCCACTCTGGGAACATTTTCAGTGTACAAAGTGCACACTGGGGACATTTTCAGAATGGGAATGGGAATGGGAACCCATGTTTCAAGTTTGTCCTGGGCCCAAGGAAATTGTGGGTGTTCTTATGAATATGAGAGAGGTTCAAAAGTGGAAGCTTTGACTGAGAAGGAATCTTTCCCTCAGAGGGAAAAGTCGACTGAGGGTCTAGTTCTCAGTGGCTCTGACTGTAGAGTGAAGCTCCTGGCGGAGGATGTTAGTGGACTGGTTCTCATCTATCAACCCTTCAAAAAAGAGTTAATCTGTAGAAAGGATGAGGCACGTAGACTGCAATCACTTAGAATAAAATGGGAATTGTTACAATAATAGAAGTGTATCCCTGTTTTCCACTGTGAATTGTTGGGGAGTATGGCTCAAGACATCACCGTGTCAACAAAGGTCTGCATGGTCAAAGCAATGGTATTCCCAGTAGTCATGTATGGCTGCGAGAGTTGGACTATAAGGAAGGCTGAGCGCCGAAGAATAGATTCTTTTGAACTATGGTGCTGGAGAAGACTCTTGAGAGTCCCTTGGACTGCAAGAAGATCAAATCAGTCAATCCTAAAAGAAATCAACCCTGACTGTTCCCTGGAAGGCCAGATAATGAAACTGAAGCTCAAATACTTTGGCCACCAAATGAGAAGGGAGCACTCACTGGAGAAGACCCTGATGCTGGGAAAGATTGAAGGTCAAAGAAGACGGGGACGGCAAAGGATGAGATGGTTAGACAGTGTCATCGATGCAACGAACATGAAATTGAGCCAACTTCAGAAGACGGCGGGAGACAGGAGGGCCTGGCGGGAGATGGTCCATGGGGTCGCGAAGAGTCGGACTCGACTGTGCGACTGAACAACAACAAATGGCTCAAGTGGTTAAGACACTGAACTGCAGGGTGTGGAAGGTCAGTAGTTCAGCAGTTCGAGACCCGGGTGCCGCATGACGGAGTGAGCTCCCATCTCTAGTTCCAGCTCCTGCCAACCTAGCAGTTCGAAAGCAAGACATTGCCAGTAGATAAATAGGTACCACTTTGGTGGGAAGGTAACAGCGTTCCGTGCGCCTCGGTGTTTAGTCATGCCGGCCACATGACCACGGAAACGTCTTCGGACAGCGCTGGCTCTTCGGCTTTGAAACGGAGATGAGCACCGCAACCCTAGAGTCGGATTCGACTGGCTTTTGAGCAAGGGAACCTTTACCTTTACCTTTATGGAAACAGAATAAATTAGGCTACAGCTTTTGCAAGATTCATTTGTCTTGAAAATGTGGGAAACGGGACTTGGAGAAATACTGTTGATGATCAGACCCAAAGTCAAAGGTCAGGGAAAGTCTCACAGATGGAGACACACAAGCCTCCCTGGGGTCGCGAACCTCCAGGTGGGGGGCTGGAGCTTTCCGGGAATGACAGCTGATCACCACACAATGGAGGTGGGCTATACGGCATCACATCCCTGCTGGACTCCCTCCCTTCCTCAGGCGCTGCCTCCAGATATCCAGGAACCTGAACTTGCCAATCCTACCCCCAGCACTCAAAATATAAGCAGAGAAACAATGTTGATCTACAGCGATTAATATTGTCTACACACACAGACGAGGCAATTCATTGCAACACGTTGCTCCAAATGAAATTGACAAACTGTGGCTGTCCTTTCTGTCATGTAATGTTTACAAAAGGCGGCGGGGGGGGGGGGGATCCAAATTTTTCCTATATTAGTAAATCAGCTTAATATCCTTAGAGCTGCCAAAGCCGAACTTCATTAAAATGCCATAAAATCTCCATAGACATACATATATATTTTCCGCAGGAATGTTAATGTGCTGGTTCTCCTCTCAGAAAAACACAATAATGGCTCACCTAAGATTCTAGCTATCTGAGCCCCTTTGTGTGGACAGCCAGACTGTGAGTTTGGAGTCTGGTGACTGTGAATGGGTGTGTCCTGTGGGTTTGGACCTCAGTGGCCCCTGCCACACAGCAGGGGGAAAAACGGCAAAAAGCGTGGCTTTTAAAAGCTGCGCCAAAGTTGACACGGCGTGGCGGGATCCCACGGATCCCCTGGCCGCGCCGCCTTCTCCCCGGCACAAGCAGACGCCAGGGAGAAAACACAGTTCGGACGCCGAGTCAGCCGAACTGCGCATGTCCGAGCATGCGCAGTTCAGCTCGGAGCCAGGGACGCGCCGGCACATCCCTGCGCTGGCGATCAGACTCCCGGTTTGCGACGCAGCAGGGAGATGAACCACCTTGGTAGGTGGTTCCTACTTGATCCGATTCATCGAGTGGATGGGCCAGTTCGGGGACGGAAGCACCACGCTTCCCAGATGTTGTGGTGTGATCGCGCTGGTTTGATCCGCCCCCGAACTGTCTCGCTACTGGCCCAAATCCCCTCGTGTGAACGGGACCTGTGGTAAGATGCCGGGGGCGGGGCGGGGAGAGCCTTTGATAAAAGAATAGTCATGTTCTTCACATTTTGTTGTTAGGAAGTATCCGTCAGAGCTTGGTTACAAAAGTTGATGGGAAAGGAAGATATATGTCTGTGTGCAAAAGAAAGAGCAATTTAGATTCTGGCAGAGATAGTTGTGAATTGGGATCCAGACTAAATGCTCCGCTCATGCAAGGCACTTCTCAGTGGAACAAAATGTCCCTGCCTTCCCCCCTCTCATCCCACTGCAACACATTGATCTCCTTGACATGCTACCTGGTCTTCCTTCCCCCCCCAAAAAAGCCCCAGATGAAACCATCCAAGATCCAACCCAAAATATAGCCAGAAAAAAAGAAACTGGTCCTTAACAATTAATACTGTGTTTTTGGTAGATCACTGATCGGCAGTTAGTATTGCCTACTTGGAGGTGGCAGTTTGATGGCACATCCCATTGCCACACATGCCATACATTCTTACACAAACCATTTGCATCTGGGTGTGGCAGCTGTGGACCAAATTGGAATGCTCAGGGAACACAGATTTAGCCCCGGGCTCACCAGATTGCTTGTTTAATTGTAACCAACAAGCCAAAAAGGGGAAATTACAAACAGCATCCATCATTGTTTCACAGAACGTTTTGCTGCTGTATGGGATCAAAATGCAAAAAAATTCTGTCTTCTGGGGTTGTCAACTTCCAGATGGTGGCTGGAGATGTCCTTACAACTGATCTCCAGATGACAGAGATCACCTACAGAAAATGGCTGCTTTGGACTCTATGACACTAAACCCTATTGAAGCCCCTCCCCTCCCCAAATCCTGCCCTGCCCAGGCTCCACCCCCCAAATCTCCAGGTATTTCCCAACCTGGAGCTGGCAACCCTACCTTAGTCATGGACATGTATGGAAATGTATAAAAGAGATGTATACAGATCCACAATTTCTACAACTGTGACTGGGGTCATGGACACTGCTGTGAGTGGCATGTCAACAGTATCCATGAACATCTAATCTACACATTATATCATCTGCACACATAGCTATTTGAGGATAGACAAGACTGATTGTGTAGAGTGCTGTACCAAATAATGTCAAATTATGAACCACCCCTGTGCTTGATTTCCTCCCATTATAGTCGATTCCCCCTTGAGTGCTCCACGTTGGCTGGATCATGCCCACAGCATGGCAAGTCAACAGATTTCTTGTGGAATGACCTTCTATATTTTCAATTCTTCCAGGTTTAAAATAGAGCAAAAACTGGATTTGAAAGAAACTCTCCAGGCTCTTGATGTCATCGAGATATTTAATAATGGATGTGACCTTTCCGGATTAACAGGTGCTTTGATTCATTGTGCTGATGTTGCTATTGTAAAAGTTTTATCTCTGTTTTCAGTCCTCATTGCCTGCTATAATAATGTACTTTTAACTAAGTGTGTTTCAGCATTTGCTCAAGGACATAGCAAAGTCCTGTGTTTTCATGTGTGCGTGTATAATGTGTGCAGCTTTTTAGTCCGCATTAGAACCCTTGCTTCCTTTAGACTTTGAGTTAAAATATGAAACTAATATGAGTTAAGAACACTATGACCACTGAAATTTTCAGTAAAATTCTAAGCAGATTTATTATTTATTATTATTTATTTATTATTTCAATTTCTATACCGCTCATAACTCCTAATGGGTCTCAGAGCGGTTTACAGTGGTCTACTTGCGTAGTAAATGCCTAACTAGGGCCACAATCTTTTCGGGGGGGGGATTCCCTACCAGCACCCATGCGGCAGATCTTCTTTCGTCTCTTCTTTCTCCGGCGGCTTCGTTGTTCCTGACGGTCCTGGCGCTATTGCGACCATCTCCGGGTAGGCTCTCTGCTGGCTTCTTCCGTTGGTGCGCAGTTACTTCGGGCGCAGCTTCCGGCTATACGTCCCTTCGGCTCCATCAATGTGGACGCCTCATTGATGGCAGAATTTTGAGAGAAACCAAACCATTTTAATAAGGGTAATGAGTACCCTCACAGGATTCTGTAAATTGTCACAGAAGTTAGTCTCCAAAGTGACATTCAAACCTAATTTGGGAGGTCATTCCCTTCTTAGGCTTCATCTGAAAAAAGTCGGGGGAAACAAAGAAATGTATGTTCAGGTTTAGTTCAATTTCTCATGTCTGGCTTTCATACCTTGAGGTTGTCACTGGATACAATTCAAAGCAAATTCGGGCTTCCTCCTCAGGAAAACCCTTCTGAAGAACTTTGAAGGAAACCAAACAGCCTCAATATGAAATTTCTGAGGGAGATTTCACAGACTATGGGCCTAAAACGATGAGGGCCAAACTAGGCAATATAGTGTTCCCAGGGACAACACTGCCATTTTACTGCGAGAATGCCCTCACTTTACAAATGCTGCAGGTAAATCGTGCTTGGGACTGTGGCATGGGGAGATGAACTGTCAAAAGTTCAAATACCATGTGGAGGGTTGGGGACTCAGTGTTCCCTCTAAGCTGAGTTAGTGTGAGCTAGCTCACAGTTTTTTAGCCTCCTGCTCACAGATTTTTCTCTTAGCTCAGGAAGGATGGCTCCAGAGCAAACTAATTTACGCAGTAGCTGAATCGCTCGCTCACAACTTTAATGCCAGTAGCTCACAAAATAGAATTTTTGCTCACAAGACTCCATAGCTTAGAGGGAACATTGGTTGGGGTCTTGAAAATGTTGGGTGGATAGGAGCCCCTCCTGCCCATACTGTGGTTTCGAGCAAGATCAGTCCCCCATGGCATCTGCACAGTGAGGTAACTCTTGAGGTAAAATGGTGATAGCATTGTGAAGGCATCCCTGGGGACACCATATTATCTACTTTGGCCCTCGCAGTTGAGATAGTACACAATAAGTGCTAAGAAGGCTTTTCTTGTGGCTACTGTGTGCAAAACTGATAATGGCAACAGTCCTTTTGACATCCTGTGTCTTAAAGGCTGCACTGAAATAGGATATGGGAAGGTGTAATCATAGAATCATAGAGTTGGAAGGGGCTGTGCAGGCCATCTAGTCCAACCTAAACTAATGTGGGAATGTGTTAAGGGTCTTGTTCCACATGCCCACGTGTGGTGGAAATCCATTCCACATGACGTCGTCAGGTACTAATCTGTGTTCACCTCCTTCTTCTGGGCCCTTTGTGGTGAACTGGAGAACAATGGAGGAGATTCTCATTTTTAACAATCTGTGTTTTACTAAGGGTGTTTGTATTGAAAAGAATTAAATGGATCGTTGCATTTCTGCCATGCACCAGTTCTTCATTGTTCATTTTGTCCATCAGATTCTGCTGATGTACACATTTCTCAGGCTATTCAAAAAGTCTGCATTGAGGTAAATGAAAACGGGAGTGAAGCAGCGGCATCGACTGGTAAGGCCATGACAGAGTGCTTATTCAGCTTATCAGGGCTGATGCTAATCCATGTGTCATTCTCGCCATCACTGGAGTCCGTGGCTAGTGACAAAAAAAAGAAGGGAAGCTGTCCGGCACAAGACAGGTAGTTGGGACTCAGGCCAGGCCCTATTATGAGACTGCTGAATTAGCAGGGGAGCGGTCTGCACAGTAAAGAGGAACCGGGTAGAATCATCAGCAACAGAAGGTTTATATAGCATTTTACAGCCCCACCCCCCCATAGCTTAGTAGAAGACCAGATCTTAGAACCCCTAAAATGGGAAACTCATGTTCACCAGTGGAGCTTAGTGTCATGCCTACAGGAGAAATCAGTGATGAGGGTTAAATCTCTCTGCTTTCAGGCTTAACTAGCATGCCGCCAACCTCTTTCCCCATACAAATATAACAAATAAGGCGAAAAGCCAGGTATCTTCATGTTCACAAATAAAAAAGGGGTGTATGTTTTTAAGTCATGCCAGAACAGGTCGATAAGGGGAGCTAAAGACTGACCCTCCTATATTGAACTCCATGGCTTTTGGCATTTTTCCCAGCTGGGAAAAGAAGTGTAGCATCAGAGTGAAGTAAAGTATGCACTGGGGAGGGTGTATATGCCCAAAGTTTATGTCTATTCTATTGCAGGCTCTCTATTTTGTTAAAATAATAGACCTCTTTACCTACTGCTTCAGCATCCCAGGAAAGGAGGAAAAACTAGCTCACTTACATATCAGTACTCTCTAGGGTTGCCAAATGTCAATTCTGCCGCAGCGGGGGACTCCCGGCTGGTGGCTGGAGCGCGCGTGCGTGAAGTACGCACACACCGCATCCACGTCACCCGGAAGTGATGCGGGCACGCCGGGCACGCTGGGAGCGGGGCCATGACCGTCCGAGGGAAAATTATAGAGTTTTCCCTTGGATGACCGTGGCCCCGCCCCCAGCATGCCCGGCGTGCCCACATCACTTCCGGGCGACGTGCACGTCGGGGTGGAGTTCCCCCGGGGCCTGATCCGCCGCCGGCGGGGAACAGGCCTCTGGGGCGGGGGTTTCCCCACCCCCTGGGGGGACTTGGCAAGCCTAGTACTCTCAGAGCTCCCTGTAGACATTTCCCGTTTTATCTCCACAACATAAAGCACTAGCCGATTTTAAGAATAAAAGCTTGAAACCCTAATGCTGCATGATGGAGTGAGCTCCCGTCTCTGGCCCCAACTCCTGCCAACCTAGCAGTTCAAAAGCAAGAAATTGCAAGTAGATAAATAGGTACTGCTTCGGTGGGAGTGTTCTATGCACCTTAATGTTTAGTCATGCCGTCTTCAGACAGTGCTGGGTATTCGGTTTGGAAACAGAGATGAGCACTGCCCCTTAGAGTCAGATTCGACTAGCTTTCGAGCAAGGGAAACCTTTACCTTTAATGTATCATGACAATAGATCATACGAATGTTAGTACAAAATAGCAAGTGCCACTACAAAACAACAACAACCCTGAAAAGCCCTCTGGTGCTGGGGGTGGGGGAGGGACAAACTATTTAGCCAATTGCCTACTCAATCGGGCTGTATGAGAAGGTACATGTGCAAAGAGCCCATTGTGCTGTGCTGTTAGAAAGTATTAGTGGAGATCCTTACCACAAATGGGACGATGAATGGTCAGACAAAAAAAATTGGCTCCCTGTTCATGACTGGCAAAATAGTATGAGCTGAACCAATGGGTGTTCAAGCATCCCTAGTTCTTTCTGGTGGTAGAAAGTGTTGTCAAGTCATAACTGACTTATGGCAATCCCTCATGGGGTTGTCAAGGCAAGAGACAAGCAGAGGTGGTTTGCCAGTGCCTGCCTCTGCATAGCAACCCTGAACTTCTTCAGTGGTCTCCCATCCAAGTACCAACCAGGGCCAACCCTGCTTAGCTTCCAATATGTGATTAAATTGGCCTAGCCGGGGGCAATCAACTCAGGTCCTAGTTCTCTCCAGAGGGCAGCAGTTCTCCTGGCTCTAGTAGGAATTGTGGCTTACATGGGGTTCTCTGTCCTCTTCTAAGGTGTTTCTGACTCAAGCTTCAGGAGCTGGTAGGTCTTCACAGTCCCATTGACCTGTTCTGTTACTGGGGAGTGGTGGGAGCAGAATGGGGTCTGCTTGTAGATGGGAAATTTGTGAAGATTGTGTTTGGAACAGTGAGAGGACAGCTAAAACCACACAGAAGTCCTGGTACAGACACATCCTAAACCTTCCCCTCAAGTAGGGCTATGAGGGCAACCAATGAAGATATGATACGGAAGAATTTTAAAAACAGATACTACACTGAAGACTGGGAAAGTGGTCATGGAACGTAAGCCCTTTCATTCTATACCATTTCCCTAATCTAAATCCCCCACATGCATTTAGATCAGAGGTGGAAGACAAACCACATTGGATAGTTGATGTTAAATAATTTTTTTAAAGAGAGCCAGTATGGTATAGAGGTTAACAGCAGCAGACTCTAATCTGAGGAACTGGGTTTGATTTCACAGTCTTCCACATGAAGCCTGCTGGATGACCTTGGACCAGTAACAGTTCTCTCAGAGCTGTTCTCTCAAGAGCAGTTCTCTCAGAGCTCTCTCAGCCCCCACCTACTTCATAAGGTGCCTGTAGTGAGGAGAGGAAGCCACTTTGTGACTCCTTAAGGTAGAGAAAAACAACTCCTCCCCCTTCCCTGCTCCTCCTCCTCCTCCTCTTCTTCTAGTCTGATAATGAAGTTGTACCTGTTTTGACCTTTAAAAGGAAGGTTTGTCCCAAAGGAAGTGAGAGGAAAAATCCACACCAGGATGATGTTAATATGAGAAATGGGTCCCTGTCTAAGATGAGACAATCACTGATGTTATTTCTGAAGCCTTCTGTTTTGATCAGCAGTTAATTTAGGCAGAACACATTCTCCCCAAACGGAAAGGTTCTAAAGGTCAGGACCCAAAGGGAGCTGTTTTTGCAAAAGGGTTTTGATAATTAATGACTTTGTACCCATACAGACACATAACAGTCTGTTTAGTGCTTCTCAGCAGTCTGTGACAGCACAAAATATGTTGTCTGAATATCTATGTTGCCAGGCTGCTGCTGTATACATACAGCGATTGCCAGCATACATTGAGAACCAGAGTGGTATAGAGGTCAGAGTGGTGCATCAGGATCTAGGTAAGTCAGGTTTGAATTCCCACTCTGCTGTGGAGGTATGTTGAGTGACCTTGGGCCAGTCACACTCTCTCAGCCTAACCAACCTCACAGGGTTGTTCTGAGAACAAAATGGAGCAAAGGAGAATGATGAAAGCCAATTTGGGCCCGCCATTGGGGAGAAAGGTGAATTATAAATGAAGTAACTAAATACTACTTGGGAGTAGGCCCCACCAACCACAGCAGGACTTCTACTTAGGGTTGATTTTGAAGTTTACATATCAGTTGTTTTGACTTATAAACCCACATTTTTACTTTTTTTTGCATCTCCTGTATACAAAGCAAGCCCACAATTCTTTATTTCTATACCATTTTCCACACTGAGCTTTCCCCCATCAAGTGCATGCAATTTCCAATGCTATTTATACATCAAAACATCAGCATTTATACTTATGTTATATGTGTAAATGCACTGCATATGCAAACATTGTTTAAATTACATATGACGTAGAGTGTGTGTATGGAATATAAAACTAATCTACAAAACCAACAGCAAAAAAAAGAAAAGAAAAAGATCAGAGAACTGAAATGGTGGATGAAAAGATAAGCCAATATAAAAAGAAGCATTTTTAAAAAAGCAAATTAAAGAATATTCACTCATTCCTAGCTGTGGGATGTAATTGTTCTAAGTCACAGTCTTTTGAGAAGTTCATTTTCAGAAACTTTGAAGGAATGACTAGCAGGACTAGCAGTAAAGAGCCCAGGGGGCGGGCACATGCAGCAAGCTCCACCCCCTGCTCCCAGCAGCCCTCAGTCAGAGCAAGAAGCAGCCAGGTAAGTTGCAGAGCTCCCCCCAGCCCCCCGGTCCAAAACAGTCCAGTGGCACCTTTAAGACCAAGTTTTATTCAGATACAAGCTCTCCCTCCTCTGCGAGGACAGATCTGCTAGCAATCCAAAACAGTCCAGTGGAGCCTGAGTGGTGGGTGTTGCCTTCTGACACATGTCCAGTGATGTCAGGGGGTGTGGCATATGCAAATAAGTTATGTTAATGAGTTATGCTAATGAGCTCCTGCACCTCTTTTTCTACAAAATGACCCCTGCTAGCAGTTGCCCAAAAGTAGCACAACCCACAGGGAAGTTCTCCAGTCCAATTCAAAGTAATGAGAACAGCACAAGAACAAACAGATTGCTTTTATGAGACTGGTTGGCTAGGTACAGGATGCGATATTATGCTCAATGCATAGACACAGAGGTCATTTCGGGGGGGAACGCGGGGGAACGCAGTTACCCCGGGTGAGGTGCAGGGGGCGGGGCACATGACGAAGCCCCGCCCCCTGCTTCCGGCCGCCCCGCTTCCAGCCCTCATTCAGCCAGGAGGAGGCAGGAGAAGAGGGAGGGTAAGTTGCTTCCTCCCCGCCTCTCCCCACCCCTGCCTGCCTGGGGACAGGGAGGGCCTTGGCGTGGCCTCCTTGCACTCCCGCTGGCCTTGCAGGTCCACCGCCGGGCCCCTGATGTCAGGGGGTGTGGCATATGCTAATGAGTTATGCTAATGAGTTCCCCTAGCTCTTTTTCTACGAAATGACCCCTGCATAGACAGCAGTACAAAAATTATATTAATTGTACTGAGATAATATAACAGCAGTCATGCTGGATCAAAGCAATGGTCCAGCATCTTGTTTCACACAGTGGCTAACCAGATATTCTCCTGGAGGTATACAAGTAGGGTATAGAGGCCAATACTTCTTTTTGTTGTCTCCCCCCAGCACTGGTATTCGATGGGTTACTGCCTCTAAATGTGGCGGTTCCCATTAGTCACCATGGCTAGTAGCCACTGATAGACCTATCCTTCATGA